AAGCCCATAACTTCAGTCTAATTATGAGGAAAACTTCGGCTAAGCCTATACTAAGGAACATTCTATAAAATGCTTGACCAGTACTCGTAAAAAAAAAAAAAAGGTCATCAACAACAAGGAAGTCTGAGAAACCATCATAATCTACAGAAGCCTAAGGAGTAGGATGATTAATAATAATATGGCCTCTTGGATGGGACCCTGGAACAGAAAAAGGATATTAGATAAAAATAAAGAAAATCCAAATAAAGTATAAAGTAGGTAATAATAATGTACAATATGGGTTCATTGGTTGTGAAAAATATACCCATATTAATAGGTTAATGGGGGAAACTGAGTATATATACCTAGACTCTCTGTACCATCTTTGAAGCTTTTCTGTAAATCTAAAGATCTTCTAAAAGAAAAAGTTTATTTAAAGAAAAGAAAGAAAGTAGAGGAAGAAATTCTCATACGTTACTGGTGCAAATGCAGAATGGTATGGTCATTTTGGAAAACGGTCTGACAGTTGCTTAGAAAATCAAACATAGAGTTACCTTATGACTTAGCAATTCCACAACTTGGTATTTCACTAAGTGAAATGAAAACCAGTGCTCACACTGAAAGCAGTACGTGAAGACTTATAATGGCTTTATTCGTAATCGCAAGAAACTGGGAACAGCCTAGACATCTCTTGGTAAATGAACAATGGCATGTCCATACAATGAAATGCTACTTAGCAATGAGAAGGAACAAGCCCCTGAGAATGTCACATGGATGAATCTCAACTGTGTTGTGATAAGAAGGAAGTCAGACTCAAAAAGCTCCACACTGTCTGAGTTTACTTACATGGCATTCTGGGAAAGGCAAAACTGAAGGCACACGTGGCAGGTCATGCTATGAGCTGGAGATCGGGGGGACGGACTCCAAAGAGACATGGGGGGGGTGGAATACTGAGTGAATTGGAATTGTTCCTTGTCCTGATTGTGGTTGTGGCTACACGACACTGTATGTTCTTCACCGCTCCAAGAACTGCACGCTAATAAGTTGAATTTTGCTATATGCAAATTGTACCTTGATTAAAAATGGAAAAACAACTCAGGGATGATTGGCCACTTTTCAAAACTGCTCTCCACGGGATTTGTTTAAATAGTATCCTCACCTGCTGTACTTTCACTGCTCCCATTTCCAACTGCTCAGTCTGCCAAAAGGGCACTTTGGTGGTGGTACATGAATATCACTGTGCTGTTTGCTATTTGGAGACTTGGAAGTGGGAGCCGCAGTCCAGGGACAAAGATCCAAGACAGCAGATACAAAGAAACACAGATGACAGCTAGGCTTGTATCTTAACAACGGGGACATTAGCTAAGTGCTTCCTAATCACCTGCTTTTGATATAATCGTGAAACTGATGAGATCTTACTTTTGTACGGTGCCTCATAGCTTACAAAGCTCTCATAGCCATTCACTGATGTTCCACACAATGCCTCTGTCACTTAGGTGAGACAAGTGTTGTCACCTCCAGTGTTAAAAGGAGACGGAGTGGGGCGCCTGGGTAGTTCTGTCCATTGAGCATCTGACTCTTGGTTTCAGCTCAGGTCACGATCTCAGGGTCATGGGTTCAAACCCCACATTGGGCTCTGCATTCAGAGCAGAGTCTGCTTGAGATTCTTCCTTTCCTTCTCCCTCTGCCCATCCCCTCCACTTGTGTGTGCACTTGCTCTCTCTCAAATAAATAAATAAAATCTTTCTAAAAAAGGAGAGGGAGGTACTGAGAGTTCTCACTTAGCTCTGTGTGCAGGTGCACTGGTTTGGCCCTCTCCATAGGTTGGTAATCCATATAAGACACATGGTAATTTGATGTGGTATTACTATCTTATGTATTTTACAAATAAGAAAATAATTACTTTATAGATGATGAAACTGAGGTTCTAGGAATTTTCCGAGGTCACTTGATTAGTAAGTATTAGAGGCAAGAGTTAAAATCAAATGTTCAGCTTCCAAGCCTACTTCTCTTTCTTTTATCGCATATGCTGGCAATGGGACTTTCCTGCATAGTGTATTTAAATTAATGGCATTTTGCCATGAATCTTCACCTCTTTAATGTGCCAGTGAGTGGAGAGTTTTTGTTAGCTTCCACCATCAGAGCTGGTTATTACACAGAAAGTGTGCTTTACTAACTGTCATCTTTACTAGTAACTTTGGGGGCTTGGAAGCAGTCTGCAATCTTTGTGTTTCTCTCAGCCCTTGTGTTTGGATAGTATCTGAATGTGTGAGAACTGTGTGTTTGTTGGAAGCTGTGACTTCCAGAAAGACAAAAAACAAAAAACCCAAAAAACCAAAAAACCTCATCAGGGTAAGCATGAGAGGGAAGCTGAATTTTCAACAAACACCAGAACATCTACATCAAAATGAGTCTTTTTCTCTCAGATAGCTGCTTTGAGAGGATATCCAATTCAGTTGCTTTTTAGTTGTCTTATTTTATTCAAAATAATAACACCATGTGCCTTACCGGGATTAGCTCTGGAAATCCTTTTCTTTGATTCCTTGGTGGTCTCTGAGCTCCTTCTGGGCAGGGCTGAGCCTTCTCCCCTCTGTGTCCTCAGGGATCCAGAGCATGGCCCTCCAGGGTGTTCAGACTGTGTCTCTTGAGTGGAACTGAACCAGAACTCATTCTCCAGGACAGAGCTGTCACTGCAGGGTGGAGGCTGGTCCACAGACACCTTATCCCCCTTGACCTCTGGCCTGAAGAACGTGGATGACGACCATGCAGGAAGCCTTAGCCCAAACTATCTCAGATGCCTGACTTTGCCCATGGGTTTATTAGTCATTCTGTGTAATCGTACTTCTTTCTTTGAGCCCACTTCATCTTGGCCATATTTCCTGCTTCCCTTTCTGTCATTTCTTCCAGGACTGTCCAGCTCTGCCCTGGGGGCCACTCCAAGCCTCATCTCACCCTAACTGACTGGTTTTTCTCACCCCTTCCCTCATGCCATGGACCGAACATAGGTTTTTCACCCCTCCTTGCCCTGCTCCTCATTCAGAAGCCCCAGTGGGGATGAACTGGTAATGAATGGAACCTCTAACTGGATTTTTCCTGGATCACCACTGATATTTCAGAGCACCCCTGATTTGCTAGCCTTTAAGGCAGAACCTCTCATCTCTAGGCCAGAGAGCAGGAAAAGAGAGAATCATCAAAACCTTCCCTGTACTGAGGGGGCCTCAGGAAGAGCCCGCCATGCTCTGCCATATTTCCATCCAGAATCCCTATTGAGTGTTATCATCCACCACTCAGCCTCAGTTTTCCTCATCAAAATCTTAGAGGAAAATATCACCAGTGTGAGTGAAACTAAGAATGAACACTGAAGGAGATAAGTAAAAGAATGCTCTTCCCTCTTAACGTTGGCTTAACTTAAAATATGAACGAGCCTTATTCCAGTCCTAAGAGAAATAAGTTTATATGCTCCCACCTATTCAGAATGGTTGCAATCTATAGTTACCTATTCTCACTATGTGATGGAAAGTCTGCTGGTCTCGGAGTCTAGAGCCTGAATTCTATCACGCCATCTATGAAAGCTGAGTATCGCTTGCTTATGTCATCTGGGAATGACAGTGCTAATCACTGAGTGGCTTCCGCCCTAACACTCACTTGCACCCCCATTATTGAGCCAGCTCAGCCCTATGCTCAGTTCCAGCGTGCAGTGAGAAAGACACATCCTTCCTTTCTCAAGTTGCCCACAGACTCACTCTCCAGATAACCCTCCCTCTCAAAGAGCAAGTGATTTCTGAAGCTTTTTGGTGCAGGTGTCCCTTCTGTCTCATTAGACTGTGAGCCCCCCAGAGCAGTGATCATATCCCCTTTCTTCTGTTTCCCCGCCATGCCTGGCCCCAAGGTCTGCAAGTGGTGGGCACCCACTGGCTTTTAGAAAGAAGTCTTTCAAGCCAGGAGGGCTCTTAGCCTACAGTACAAGCTCTCAAAGGCTAGATGGCACTGTTGCTAGAGCCAAATCAGGTGTGTTGGGAAAGAAGGGGGAGGTGGGAAGAGAAACCAGAGCAGGAGGCCCTGGACTGTTGACTTGCTGAGTTTGACCAGACTTGTTACAGAGATGCGTGAGGACTCCTGCCAGCTTTGCTTCAATAGGTCTTCACCACAACCATGGTAACAGACAGGACACTGCACCAATTCTAACTTTATAGAAAAGCAGCTCAGAGAAATCAAGTGCCCGGGCTTAAGTTAAATGGCAGCTAATGAGCAAGGATTTCTGCCATCTGTGCCTTGTTGGCATTGCCCTGCCAGGGTGAAGCCCCTGGAGTTTGCCCAAGGAGGACTGTGGTTGGTGGCATGGCTGTTCCAGGACAGTGGCTTGGGTGAACTGGACCCAGTCTGAGCAGAAAAGGTAGAGTTTGCAGACCTCTGCCTCAAAATGTTTACTTTTGTGACCAGGGGAGAATATAGTCACTTTGGAGGAAACAAATGATAACACATACAGGTTCTTTGAAGAACGGCAATTGTAGGTAATTTGTACACTCACTAGGATCTAAGGTGAATGGTTGATGTTTCATTTAAAGAATGAATTATTTTGAGATGCTGCTCTGTGGTTGGGTTCTAGCTGTCATTTGTCCATTGCTTCATTATGTTTACAAGTTTCTCATTAAAATGAAACAAAGCAAATAAGACCATCCCGTGCAATAGGCAGGATGAGTGTCATGACTGTGCCCTTTTAACAGATGAAGAAATAGAGGGTCAGAAATGATCACATGGCTGATCACTGAAACTTCAGCTCAGTATGAGGCCAGAATCAAATTTTGTCCTCTTTGGAAAAACCATAGTTGTTTCAGGCTATGCAGAAATCACAAAATTAGGTGGGCTGTTGTGGATATGAAGAGTAAGGCATCAGAGACTAGGAAAATACCTATTCAGAGTAACGAATGATTAAATATATGCAAATATGTGCAAATTTGAGAGAAAATCGATACATCTGTTGTTTGTGCCATCTGATTGTTTGTATTCTCCTGTTTCCCCAGGATGATGAAGATAAGCTGACCTGGAAAGATCGTTTCCCGGGTTACTTGGTGAACTTCGCCTCCATCTTGTTCATGGTAATTTTCTTGATGGAACTCTTGCCCATGATTTATGCATGTGGATCCTGTAGAGCAAACGCTGTGGGTGTGTTATTCTAGCATGCTGTGGGGATAGTGAGGGGCTAGGAAAGATGAAGCCACAGTCCTGTCTAGACAGGGAGGATCTTACCTGATAGTGAGGCCTCTGTGGGTGTCAGCCACCTGAAGAGGGAAAGGTGATTCCCTCTGACCTGGGATGGGGGTCAGTGGCCTTGAATGGTTACAGAAGGGGGTTCTGTCTTCCCAGATAGAAGAGGGTAGGGAGGTTTTATCTCCCCAGCCCTGCGCACAGGGGTTTGAGGTCAGAACTTCCGGGGGTGGGCTGTGAGATGATGCCTTCCTTGTTGAGACAAACCAAGACCTTGGAAGAGGTAACCCAGGTAAGATGGCTGCAGAACTGTGGCGGCCTGTTCGGGCTGTGGGCTGGATCTCCCTGAGGGTTTGTGGAATAGAACAGAGCTTGAAAACCACAGAGGACAGCCAGCGTGGGCTCTGCGTGAGCCTGATTCTTTAGCTCCCCTATAGTTGCTGTTTTTATTTCCCTGTGTTCTCCCTTAGAGTTTGGAAGAGCCTTTTCAAAAGACCCACATGGGTCTCAGCTGTGTCAGGGAAGATGAGGAATGGGTCTGTGATTCATGTTCAAGTCAGATCAATAAAGTAGTAACAGGTCATTCTTGGGAGCCAGGATGGGTGAGACAACAGTGAGTGGAGCAAGAAGGCCCCAAGAAGGTGAAACTCAGAGGACTAAGCTTGGGTCCCTGAGACCCCTGCCCCCCCTTTATGGGTAGATGCCTCCTGGTACCAAGGCTGGAACTTCTGTTTTACAAAAGAGTGCTATGTCCTTATAACATTTCTAAGCAGGACTACACATTAGTTGTAGGGTTGGGGGAGGATTGCTTATTCTGGGACTGAAATCATGATCATTTTCTGGACCTACTTACCAGTGTTACCCCCTGGCCCTGACCCGAGGTTATTATTGCTGTTGTGATCATTGAGAACAGGAGCCATGTCTTAGTCTCAGAGATTTAAAAAAAGAAGGAATCCTAGGCACCATCTATTTCAGCATCTCATTTCACAGATGAAGGACAGAGGTGATGGGTGCCTTGCCAAAATTGAGAAGTCTGCATTTGTTACCTTCTCATTGCTTAACAAGAGCAAGGCATGGAGAATTTATTCAAGAATATGTGGTGAATCGCAATGTGTTAAGCTGGAATGATGTAAAGTTTAATTTAGGATTTCAAAGCCTCCCACAATGTGCATATTGTTGTCAAAGAGTTTATTCACTCATTCAAGAAATATTTAACTGGGGGTGCTTGGCTGGCTCAGTTACTGGAGTGTGTGACTCTTGATCTCGGGGTTCTGAGTTCAAGGCCCATGTTGGGTGCAGAGGTTACTTAATATAAAATCTTTTAAAAGAAATTTTAAAAATATATTTAATGGGTGCCAAGTATATGCTTGACGGTGTTCTTAGGCATTGGGGATAGAGTAGAAAATAAAATAATCTCTCTAAGGAGTTCAAAGATAGCAAATATGCATATAAATAAGGAAACTGATAAATAAAATAGACTTCTATCTCCAGTAGCGGTAGGTTAGGATATTTGTAGCATCCCATCTTGCTGAAAATAAGAAATATTGGGTGAATATATTTTTCATTCTTCTTAAAGCCTTGAAGGGCTAATAGGTTAGTGAAGAATACTAGGCTATTCCTAATACAGATCCATCTAAGGAAAATGGAACCAAGGAGACAAATACCTGGGCATTAATATTGCTTTTGCCTTGGGACGCCTGGGTGGCTCAGTCGTTAAGCGGCTGCCTTCGGCTCAGGTTATGATCCCAGGGTCCTGGATAGAGCCCCACGTCGGGCTCCCTGCTCGGTGGGGAGCCTGCTTCTCCCTCTTCCTCTGCCACTCCCCTTGCTTGTGCTTGCTCTCTCCCTCACTCTCTCGCTCTCTTGCTGTCAAATAAATAAATAAATAAAATCTTTAAAAAAAATACTGCTTTTGCCTTGAGGACATTTTCCCATCTAGGCAAACTTGGGCTTTGGTTTTTGGTGGTTTTATGGGGCAAAGAAGATAGAAATGGGGTGTGGCTGGCCCAAAGTGGAGATGCTAACAGGAAATTCTCACCAAGTTACATTGGAACTCCACAAAGAGCTACACTCTCAGAATAGAGGTGAAGCAGCGCTAAACCCACCCCCTCCCCACTTACGGGACAGCAGAGAACATTGTTCTGGCTCTAAGTAGAACAGGGAGAAACGGAAACAAAACCCTGTCCCTGAGAAGTGGCCATGGACGATCCCCATCGTAGGCTTCCAGCCCAGTTTGTCACTTGAGAGGACGGGGGAAGCTCGGGCTGGGACCTTGGCCAGGGCAAGTCGTGCTTCCGGGTGCCCAGCAGAAGCAAGCACACGCTCTCTTTGTGGGATGGCAGATCTACACCAGGCCTCGAAAAATCCCCCCAAAGAATTTTTCAAGGGCAAAGAAGAGAATGCAGTTAAAAATAATCAATTAGACAAGAATCTAAAGTGCAATGAAAGAGAACCAATGCGGGGAGATGGCAAAGACTAAAGATACTGGAAATATCAGTCACAGGTTAAAACGTCCAGTTTGAAAATTTCTGCAAAAAATAAACTATCTTAAAGATTTTATTTATTTATTTGTCAGAGAGAAAGAGGGAAAGAGAGAGAGAGACCACACAAGTAAGGGGAGCGGCAGGCAGAAGGAGAAGCAGGCTGCCCATTGAGCAGGGAGCCTGATGCAGGGCTCTATCCCAGGACCCTGGGATCATGACCTGAGCCGAAGGCAGACACTTAACTGACTGAGCCACCCAGGCGCCCCGAAAATAAGAAACTATTTTAAAAATGACCTAAAGATTTGAAAACTGGCCAATAAATCTTCTAGAAATGAATATATATCAATGAATGTGAATATATAATATATAATAATATATATGATATGAATATATAAATATACATATACGTAATATTATATATATATACACACACATACAATAGGGATGGATTTAACAACAAATTAGACATAGTTGAAGAGATGATTTGTGAACTGCAGTTCAGGTTAGAAAAAATTATCCATAATGTAGCACAGGGAGACAAAAGATTGAAAATTCAAAAGAGAAATTAATAGAGTGAAAGGATTTCACATGTATTTAATTGCACTACCAGAAAAAGAGGTGAGAATAGTAATGAATGAAATACACTGACTGGTGGTCTCCTAGTCAGCTAGTTCTGCTAACAGAATTCCAATTCAGAGATTGAAGAATCCCAGTGAAATTCAAGCAGGAAAAATAAAAAGAACTCTCTCTCTGTGAAATCGTAGAATATATGAGACACAAGAAAAATCTCAAATGCAGTTAGAAATCAAAAGACAAATTACCTTTAATGAAGAGACTGATCGGCCATTGATTTCGCATAGCGGTTGGAGTCAGAATACAGTGACATGTTTATCTTCATGTGCCGAAAAGAAAACAATTGCTAACCTGGAATTCTATACCCAAGAAAAATGTAATATAGAAGCATTAGTATAAAATACAGATATTTATAGCCAAACAAAAGCTGAGGGTTGGCAACCAACTGAATCTTTCACTAAAGGAAATCCTAAGAATGTACTTCAGATATGATCCCGCATAGAAAACCATAGTTTTAAGAATGAATGAAGAACAAAGTGGTAAATATGTGGGAAAACCTATGTGATCTTTACCGTAAACAATGATGATGCTGTCTCGTAGGGTTAAAAATAAGGCAGTGGGGTGCCTGGCTGGCTCAGTCAGTAGAGCATAGGACTCTTGATCTTAGGATTGTGCATTTGAGCCCCACACTGGGTGTGGAGCCTACTTAAAATAAAAAAAAAATAAAAAAATAAGGTAGAAGTACAGTGTACACATTAATAATAGCATATAAGTTGGATGGGCAGTAATGAAACAATAACATTGTAAGGTCTTTATATTTCCTCCCTGACAATTTATATGGAAGCACAAAAGCTAAGAGTAGTCAAGACACTGTTGGGGCACCGGGGTATTTCACTCGGTTATGCATCCAACTCTTGATTTCAGCTCAAGTCATGATCTCAGGGTTCTGGGATCGGGACGCATCAGGCTCTGCGCTCAGTGAGGAGTCTCCTTGAGGATTCTCTCTCCCCTTCTCCCCCCACCCCTTCTATCTCAAATAAATAAATAAATAAATCTTAAAAAGAAAAGTATAGTAAAGACACTCCTGAAGAGGAATAAAGAGGGCTAAGGTGCTCTACCAAATGGAAACTTAATTTAAAATAGTAATAAGTACGACAGTGTGATATTATTGCAGGAATATAATTAGACCAGTGAAACAAAACCAAAGGCCAAGAATCAGATCCATACAAGTGGCACTGCATATACTTGAGGAAAATTAAGAATTGCATCCAGGAGGACTCTAAGGTTCTCATCCTGAGTAATCAAAAGCTGGAGTTCTCCCTTCCTGGGATAGGGAGGAATTCTGGAGTTGCCTTCATGATGGATATAAACTTGCAGCTCAGACTCCTCCTAGACAGATGGTACTGGTGGTATTTAAAACCATGAGATTGTATGAGATCACAGGGGTTTGAGGGCAGATAGAGGAAAGTCCAAGAGTTGAGTTCCAAGACGCTGCCATGTTGAAGTTTGGGAGCATGAGGAGGATCCAAAACATGAGATCAAAAGGAAAGCCGGGGGAGCATGTGGAGTCCTGGAAGCCAAGAAAGTATTGCAAGGGGAGGGCAATCAGTTATGTCAGATGCCAGCGATAGCTCAGGCGAGGAGAGGACTGGAAACAGAAGCTTGTCTACTGTCTGAGAGAGGAACTGGCATCATCTGCATCACTCTCAGCAACAAATAGGTGACCACGTCACCACTGACAAATACAGGCATACCTTTATTTCATTGTGCTTCATTTTACTGCAGTTTGCAGGTATTGCATTTTTTACAAATTGAAGGTTTGTGGTAACCCTGCA